AAGTAAATACACCTTAGGATATGAAATAAAGACCCATAAATATGATGTGTAGATAATACATACAATAAAAACCAGGTAAAATATATTGGAAGAGTTATCTTGTCACACTCTTGCTGTAATAGCAACGTATCTTAGTGTTATGGCTAGTGTGGCTCTGTCGTGATAAATAGATCATGGAAAATGAACAAAAATGGTTTTGTAATAAAGGAATACAGTTTACTGGTATCAACCCTGTTATCATGGAGTAGAGGTCCACATATTGTTGACTTCCTGTTGGATAATGCCTTGACAGATAGATTCTGCCTGTAAGATGTAACTCAGACTTAATAGGGAGAAGTACTTCACCACCCATCATAAGGAAATAAACTGCAGTGGGTCGCCCCAGTGATGTTGTGCAGCTTTTTCAAGTCTGTGCACATCGTGTGTAGCTAGCTGTATGTGTGTAAAATTGATTGATTGATTAACGGTACTTAGATGTCCTTTTAAGCTTATAGGGGAGCCTAGGATGTTAGGATGTATATGTTAAGGTGATTTCTTTCATCATTTATTGTGGATGTAACATCCTGTTGAATCACTCCTTCGACTTGTAACGGTGACTGTAAGCTTTTTTTCTGTTTAAGCTAATTCAATTCCTACCACAAATCTTGAGTCGTAGAATGTTTTGTTCTAAATGTGCTATTCCCCAAGGTAGCTATGAAAGTGAAAAAAAGCTAGACATGACAAGACATCCATTAGCTGTAGACTGGCGGAAAGGATGGAATTCATTAACCAAATTACCTAATGTACATTACTCATTAAAACCCAGTGCTTGTGGAAGATGCCACCAGGATACACACAGAGGTCATACAGAGGTATAACTTAGGCGTAGGATGTAATCGAGATAAATACAGTTATAGCCAAAACAGTTGTGTATTTTATATGTATATGACAGTGAGCTCGAGGTCGTCAAGACGGTTCCACCAGACACTGGTAAAATAATTTCAAATGAAGGGAATAATTCAATTTTACAAAAACAATGTTGTAAGCTTTTAACAGTAACCTGAAATAGATTTCAAAATAGTTGTGTTGTATTATTTATTTACAGCCAAAGTTTGAGCTAATGGAGTTAATGGTAACAAGTCTTAAACTTGTGATGCATTATACATGAAGCTAACTATAAAACTTAGCACCATTTACACTGCCATAGTAACACATATACCAATAGGAGTTTTGACTGGGGCTGCAGAGGTTGGAGCTGAGCCAAACGTGTGCCAGATTGAGGTCAGGGGTCAGGGGAGAGTAGGACATGCATGCATGCACCTCAGGTATATACACTGATGTATAATTAGAGGCAGCAGGCGATAGTTGCCCATAATGCATTATAAACAGTACATATAACTGTCAATAACTGTTATAGATACCTGAAAAGAAGCCTCAATACTTCCAGCTGTTTCCAACATATTACTAGTCCTCAAGAATACAAGCTAATCTAAATAGTGTAAGTTATATATTTAATTTATGATAACAGGTCAAATACAAGTTTAAGTACATGCATACAGTAAAACCATTCTGACCTAAACATGGACCAAACTTACTGGTAAAAAACAGACAAGCGTTCTGATTACAAAGGTTCAATTTACATAGAAACGTAAACAGGGATTTGTCCAACTTTTTCCTGTTTCTGCATTTTTTATGCGTCAGTTTAGACGGGGTATCAGTTATCTAAATTCCAAAGTGGGTAGTTTAAACACTTGTTGTATCTTGTGTATGGTTGATGTGAGCCAAGCTTTATATAAAGTACACTGTAAAAATTAGTGGTATAAAATGGTGTAAAAACAGTTATGGAAAGCTGTAACATAGACCAGTACTACAGAAATTAATGATGGTCGTAAACAGTAACCTAGTACTACAGTGTAACATAGACCAGTACTACAGAAATTAATGGTGGTCGTATACAGTAACCTAGTACTACAGTGTAACATAGCCAGTACTACAGAAATTAATGATGGTCGTATAAAGTAACCTAGTACTACAGTGTTATGGGGTGATGTACTGTAAGTACACGTAGGTGAACAGAGGGATGTATACTTATGTTGTTGTTTTCATATACCTCTACAACCGACACACAACTTGAGAATCACTTGAGTCGGGTTATATCCGGAATGTAGTTAGTTTTAAGTGGAATATATTTTTACAAAGATTTGCCCTGGTTTCAAATAGCTTTTGAATTATGAACAATTGAATTTACAACTTGAAACCTTCATATTGTATGCTTGGGGATACCAGTTTTGAATTAGGCTTCAGTGTATGGTAAGGTAAATCTTCTGTTATAAAGATGACATTTCAGCATATGGTATACTTTCCACTTTAATCCTACAATGTAGCAAGCCTTACATGTTTAGTTGGCATCATATTTCTGACCAGCACACAATTTGTGTGTGTTCAATTCCTGAAATTCAACTCCCCACCACCACCATATAATCATTTATGTTAGTGTGTGCAACTTAAGCTCTATTGAAACATTGAATACATTCTGCTGCTCATACATTTATAAGGGTATTAAAGTTCATAGACAAAGCAGGTTTTTAGTTTAATTTGTTAACTTCAAACATTCATTATACATTACAAAGTTAAAGCTCTTTTGAAATGGTGTTAAGTGTGATGTACATGAATAAACATGTTGAATCAAGTTAAAATTTCTGAATAATGAAACTTTGAAGTCCATTCCAATTTTGAAATTGATTTGAAAGTGAAACTTCACTTGGTTGATAGTGCACAACACAGGTTGTTTTTGCATATTCAATCACTCATATACATATAATATAAGCAATTGGATATTTTACTAATGTAATGGAATAGTAGATCTGCTATATAGTCATGTGTAATTGGCAATGAAGTACCTCAGTGAGTTGATACGTTGTAGCTTTGTCCTGCAATAAAGTTAAGACTCACATGCGTGGTCTGCTGTCCATCAAATTTTGCTAGTGACTATGTAGCAGAGTTCAAAATATTTTGTTATTATGAATATTATGAGTCCATGGAGATCATGATCAGAAGTCACACAAATACCAGGGCTAGCCTAACTGGGGCTGAGAGGTCAGTTCCTATTGGATGATAGCATTCAATTACATTTCTATTCAAAATACTTGATAGGTTCGGTGGTAGCATTCTTAGACTGTGGGGATCAAAATCTATTCGAATAAAGGGACTGAGGGGTACGGGTCAAAAGGGTCAAATTGGCTGATTCGATTGAAACAAATCACTTTCCAAACGTTGGGCAGGTTTCAAATTTCAAGCAAATTGTGATGATAGCCTCCTCCTTAGCCCATGAGGATCAAAAGTGATACAAATAAAGTGATGAACATTCTGAGGGCTCTCCTTCTGGCTTACTGAGCACATTTCAACCTCACTTCCAAATAGCCAGGAAAGCCCTTGGGTATGGTGTTGTACTTAAGGTAGATTCCAGCTAGATTAGCGATACACTATTGTCATCCATGTGTGAAATATGATGCTGTGGACATTCAGTAATTCAGGGTCAAAACAGAAAGAAACCTTTAACAAGGCTTTGGAGGGATGACCTGCTTCATCAGAAAGTAATAAGAGCCTACACATCTATACATTTGTAGTACCAGTCTTTACTCTTAATGTTATTTTAAGTAAGTTTCAATTAGTGTAACTAACACTTTAAAGACGACCTAGATTATATTACAGTATGTCAAACTGAGATAGACCTTAAATCAGTCTTAATTATGGTAAAGAACACCATATAGACGACCTAGATTTCAGTAAAGAAGGTGAAACAGACATAGGCCTTAAATGAGGAAGGCCCAATTTAGCCAGAAAGTGTGCTGTATCTTATTTTGATACATTTTGTTAGAGAATGTCTGTATTTGTGGAGTCTGTGGATGTTGGCTTGTGAGAAGGTATTTTTAGTTAAGGAACAGGCTTAATTTAATTTCTTTAAAATATAACCACTCGCCTGACTCCGCTGTGATATAATGACACCATGTAATCTGTTGGTAGAGAAACTCGTCTGATAGTGTAGTAGTGATATTCTTCACTCTCCCACCCCCGGCACAAACACACACACACACTCACACACTACCCAAACAACCAACAACAACCCCAAATCCACTGCATGTCTGAAGTATACCTCCATTCACTTTGACATCATGTCCTCTTCATCCCATCTCAATCATTGATATTTTTTCCAAATGAGATAGCATGCCCCATCAAAGCCATGTGTAGTTCTACCTCCATCTTCTCCTTTGATGAGTGCAGTGTAGCTCCTGTGATGTTCTGGTGGGCCAACTTAATGCTTTTAAGTAACTGATGTTAGAACATTGACAAGGAGTGGGAGTATTCTGTTATCAGTTATATTTCTGACGTCTACATTTCCAGCTGAGGATGAATTTCATAAAGATACAACCCATATAATTAAGAAACTTTTTCCGAGCAACCTATTAGTTTTCTGGAACTGCCTTCTCATTAGATATAATCTAGGGAAATAAAATTGCTCAGAATTTAATTACATTTGTGTATCAGTAGATACTAAGATCAAGAAACTTTTGGTTTGCATTAAGTTAAAGCTGTAACGACAACCTTGCCACCACACACAGAGTGAAGGTTAATCTTTCCTCTCCCCCACTGATCTTTTCAGGTGCCATAACCAATAATACATACAACCTCTTCTCTACTCCCACACAATTTCATAACTTCATGTGTAGCCAGATCAACCTAGATGCACCAATGCCTTTCCATCCTAACAAACAGGGTGGCTTCTACGTGGCATATATTCGTGTGCTTAACTAGTTCTGACTTAAACAGATTTGTACACATTATCAATCATAGAAGGAATTTCATATCAGTGCCAGCACATACAGTCTTTAAACTAGATTTAACTTGTCCAGTGTTTTCAGATTTTAGGGGGGAATGTAAGACATCAAAAGTAATGTGACCTGACCTGTACTATATGTAGAAGCTGTATAGGATCTTCTGACCTTGACCTTTGTTAATTGCAGTATGATGCTGTCAGGGTAAACCAGATCTTTGAGCAGGCCAAGTGGAATATCTTGTCAGAGGAAGTGGACTGTACAGAGGAGGAGATGATGATGTTTGCTGCTCTACAGGTACATCACCATGGCTATATAACTTTAGTTACCATGGTAACACATTTAAACGCCTGTCAGAGGCTGCCATGGAAAACAGATTTTAATGTCTGTAAGAGGCAAGTGGTATACTGAAGTTTGTAAATAACCCATGTCTGGTCACAACATGTGGTTTGTTTACCCTGGAAATTGAAATAAAAATTCTTTGTAGACACAAAATCTGTTAGGTGCTGGGTACAACAGATGATGATTACAAATTGTTTTTGGTAGAATGTGTGTTACCATACATCTTCTGGCACAACATGGTTTTTGGAAGGAAGCAAATCTTCCCAATTTACAGCAATAATGTTATATGTGCCTTTTGTATTTTATGTATTTTATCTACAGTGTACCACATCCGTGGAAAAAATAAAGGGTGAAGTCTGCCAATATAAGGGAAGTAACTCCAACTTCTTTGTGACTCCTGGCTGCAAAACAAAACATACCTGCCATATTTCTACAGATAACTATTATAATAGTTGTTTGAATATGTACTACAGCTGCAGATCCAGACACAGGCAAGTCAACCACAGCCCAATGACTCCATGATGGACAATGGTGGTCACTCACTGGACACAGACGACATAGATGCTGACCTCACAAACCTAGAGGAGTCATTGGAAGGGTCCATGTTGTCATCACCAGGGGATATCACTGCGATTCCAGAACTCAGTGACGAGATCAAGTTCCTTAAGTATGAAAAACTTCAATGAACATACATTTAACAAAGATTTTTCAACACAAGTCACAGATTAGGAGACGCGGTAGTGTAGTAGTAGTATGGCAATGGGCTCGTGACCGAAGGGTTGCAGGTTCGAGTCACGGCACTGTGTTGTATCTTTGAGCAAGATACTTTACTCCTCTTGTTCCAGTCTACTCAGCTGTAAATAAGAATGTGGTTGGGCAGTGCTAGAATTGTTGAATGCTAGTTGTGAGCACCAAAATGGCAACACCGGCTGTATGCTCTCCAGGGAGTTGAGAAATGTATTGGCTGGTTGCAAAGGCCCTATAACCACGGATAATAATTTGTGAACCACTTTGAGACAACCTATGAACTAGGTTGTGATAAAGCGGTATATAAGAACCTCGAATTATTATTATTATTAATTATTACTGTTTAATTACTGTTATTACTGTTTTATGTATAGATACATCTCCATTTCAAATTATACATGGTATTGTAAATTGTATACATGTTATACTTTAATTTTCCATGGTCAAAAATTAGTCTGATGTATTTATCAGAACAAAAAATAAAACAGCTATACAGTGCTGTATGAAAAAAAATTGGAATATTCACTTGTTCATATGATTTTGAAGCTCTGAGAAAGTTACAAAACAGATTTTTTTTACAGTACTTAAAGGATGCAGGAAATATGTTGTAAATAAATCATATTTGAAGTTCTTCCTGAATCCAGTCACTACTATATAATTCCTAAAACACAGGAAAAATGTACTTTTTAAACTATTAATATGAGTTCTTTTATTTTCACTGTTGTAGACCTAAGAAAATATTACTTCGGAAGAGCTACAGCAGAGCATGGTGTACATTCAAGGACACACATATAGCATTTTACAAGAGCAAGGACGAGTCCCAAGGTGCACCTTTCATGAGAATCAACACAAAAGGTACAAACCACAGGTCCTCATTATAATTTACAAATAAAATAAATAAATACTGCTCGGAAACATTCACCAATAAAATCCATATTTGCCAAGTTTCAATTTCGCCATATATAAATTATTAGGGCAAAAAGTGCCAAAGTTATTGCTGTGAAAATTTCCTACAGTTAAATACCAATTTCTGTACGGTTAGTATAGAAAATGTGTAAAAGAACAGGATGATGTTTTGACACCATTGTATTGGACGGAATTGTCACAAATTGATTCTTCCTCTGATTTGAAAATATCAGTCTTCTTTCATATACTTAGAAGTTTGTCATTATTCTTTTATTATGCTTTTTAATATATATTGACATTTTTTTGTATGAAGGTAACATTTATTGAATTCAAATTTCAGGGTGTGAAAGCCATCCAGATTTGAATATATCTTCAAGAAAGTATGGCATGAAATTGTTCGTACCAGAATCTGATGGGATGTCGGAAGTCTGGCTCAGGTTTGATATGGTATGTTAGAAAATATTTATGTATCAAGCCATGCCAGAAATCCCTATAAACAATTGTTGCAAGAAGTTTGTGATCCTATTCAAATTATTTTAAGATTAACTCCCTCCATCATGGGCTGATATTTCATGCTGTGTATGGGCTAACTCATTAACCAAATTTGTTCAAACTGTATGGAAAACTATTTACAGGCCACCCATGCATGTTAGTTGTTTGGGTTTCCGGAACACCATGTTTGGTCATGTATATCTTTTGATAGTATTTTTTTTCTGCCAACAATAAATGGCCCCTATAAAATACATATTATGTTGTTTCTGTGTTTCCAACTGACCCTTGTAAATATTAGTTGTTTCTACGTTTCCAGGAAGAGCAATACTGTAAATGGATGGCAGCATGTAAACTAGCCTCTCAAGGCAAGACGATGGCTGATAGCTCCTATGAGACAGAAGTTCAGAGTCTGAAGACGATGCTGAGTCGCCAGCACTTGTCGTCACAGCCAGGTACATCCCCTACAATACAGGTGGACATCAACTCTGAGGACTTCGTGGCTCCACGCTTCTACAAGAAAATCAAGTCTAAACAGGTCGGTGTTGATTTGAAAACAGTTGTGATCAATGTGGTAACAGGACAACCTGTTTATGATGAACACTTCTTATGCCTTTATGTATACCTGTCCCCTTTGGATTTTTGTTTAAATTATTTTTTCCGTTACAGGTTGTCGTGTTAGAAACATAGTTTATAGTCGGTGAACCATGTTGTTATGTTGGAGATGTGTTGTTTACAGTCTGGTGTTACATGTTTTTGTTGTGTTAGTAGTCTGGGTATGTTGCTTTACAGATGTGTTGTTAACAGTCTGGTGTTACTGTGAACATGTCTTGTTTTCTGTGTTAGAGACCTGTTGTTTACAATCTGATTATATACTTTACAGCTACAACAGAGAATCTTGGAGGCCCATGCTAATGTGCAGAACCTGAATTTAATTGATGCTAAGATGGCCTTCATCAAGGCATGGCAGGCCCTACCAGACTTTGGTGTAACCTACTTCATCATCAAACAGAAAGGTGCCAAGAAAGAGGTAAATACACCATCAGTTCAAGTCAAAGGAGGAAGGGAAATCAAGTGTTTTCCCATTTGAAATTCTACTACAATTTATGAACATCATGAGTGTACCAGGGTTGATTTCCCATAGACTTCCTTAGTAAAAACTCAATATCAACACTCCTACACACCACTGGGTCACCTATTGTAGATAGAATTTACAAGCTTTCACTCATTAATCTTGAATTATTGTTAATGTATGTACAAAACCACATTTTTCCAGGTGTACCAAAGGTCACGTCCACAGTAGAAAGAGCATTGAATAAACAAGTTTTTTTCTGAGAAAGATCATAGCAAACCAGAAAAAACTACGAAAGTCTGCCAGTGTATCAAGTATAATGATTATACAGATGTACATAGGTCCCTTGAAGACTTGAGTGTCTACGTCATAATATGCCAATTTTTTTTTTTTCAACCTAGTCAGCTGTCCCCAAAGTTTTAAATGTGGACATGTCTTCTTTGTACTTTTTCTGCCAATCAGATAATTGCACCTATATTTGGATGTGATACCTACTACGGGTATGCATATCACACATACACTTAACAATCTTGAGTATATGAGATGAACTTATTCAGAACATTTAAGATAGCTTGGTTTATAAAGTTTTAATTTTACTCATATCTTGTTTGTATATTTTAATTGTTGGAGGCATGAATTATGACTTCAGAATCAATGAAATATTAATTTTAATGTATCAAGAGTTCATAATTATACAAATGTATATCATGTGTATGTGCTTAATCTCTATCTGTTAGGAAGCTTGCACAAGATCAAGTTTGTCTGAAAATTCATGAGTCCATGTTGTCTTACAGGAGTTGCTTGGTGTAGCTTACAATAGGATCATCAGGATGGATGTTTCATCTGGAGACTCATTGAAGACCTGGCGCTACAACACACTGAAAAACTGGCACGTCAACTGGGAAGTAAAACAGGTGTTTCTGGACTTTGAGGGAGAGCGGCTAACTTTTGCATGTTTAAATGCTGACTGTAAAGTGGTTCACGAGTACATAGGAGGCTATATATTCTTATCAATGAGATCACAGGACAAAAACCAGACCTTAAACGAAGAATTATTCCACAAACTTACAGGAGGATGGAATAAATCCATTGTCCTGTGATCAGAACGCTAGTGCCTAACCTTATCACAGGTCTTTCTCAAAATATTAACAGATGGAAATGCCTTACTGAACTGGTCACATGACAGTCAATACAACTAGGCACTCATACAGAGAGAGCTCTCCCAGGATGTACCACACAAAGACTCCCGTAGGTGGCGCTAGTTGTGTTCACATTCTGTGTAAACAAAAGGAGGCTCTTAAATTAACACCTTACAACCAGTCACCAGAAAGATGACATGATAGTCACCCAGTATAAATGGTGAAAAGAAGTGGGAAGTGATGATATTGAAATAAATTTGTTGAAATGGTTACTTTCTGAGAAGACCTTAATGAGTGAATGTCCCAAAGTGTTCTTTGTAATCAATCACCTGATGTGAATCAGACTGTCAGGTATGTCACACTGCTGTCAGTCAAAAGTGGAAATATGTGCAACATTCATTCATTAGTGCTGAGACAGTCTTCATTATCAACCTTGTGTAGATGCGCTGTGCATGCATGATCTCCACATTTTCTTTGTATACGCAACTTAGCTTCCATTCTACCCAGGGCTGTCATTATTGCTTCGGTTGTACCGGGAGGAAAGTCTATTTTGTTCCATCCAGGGATCCTTTGGATGCCTTGATTGAATGGGGAGGAGGGTCCATGCCCACTTTTTGTTCCACCTAGGGCTCCCCTGTATTGTGAGAAGGATCTATACCTAATTCTGTCCCACCTTTGGGCTCCCCTGATGGCCTGGTTTATATGAAGATAGTCCATACCCGGTATGTGACATCTACAGGTTTGAAGCACAGCTTTTATATTTAGACAGACAAGGATAATTTCAGTGTGGAATTTTATAAATGGCATTACTGCTTAAACATTGTAGAAGTACATAAACAAAGTGTTATTTTTAAAAGTCTGTCCTGGTTATGTAGTTCCTGTGGTCATATAACACACAAAACATGTTTTTTTTCTGATTATTTTATCCAGTGATCTAACAGCAAATGAAAACAAAATGAGTAAGGGGAGAAAACTCTCATACATACGTAGGTTCCTTACTGTTTCAAGAATGCCACTGCCCATTGGTAACAATGCTTCCAGTAATATCTAGACAAGTTGAATTTCATACTCAGGTTACAGATGTGTATTACTTATTACTATTGAAACGTAGACGTTGACAGTTTCCACGAGAAACAGATAGGAAGTAGTTTGTATATGAAATGTTTGAGGTCCACTCTGTACTGGAATGACTCAAACTGTTACCAAGTGTTACCATGTGTGATTCAGAGGATATAATCAAGTGGTCTTATTTATGGTGTAAGTAGTACAATTGTTTCATAATATGAGATACAGTGTTTGATACGCTATATATATAAAAATTACTAAAATTATATAATTTGTAAAATGATTTTGTATTCTTTTCAAGACATTTTTATTATGAAGTGTGATTATAACTTTATTTTAATGGAGATGAAAATGGCTGTAAATTTTTATCCCTGATTTGTGATGCTCATTAAATGATGCTATTCTGTTATCCTGGTAACCCTGTTGTGGTGCATTTTAATGTGTGTACATACTGGTATGCATCACGCTTGTGTCATTCTTGTCAGTAGGTTTATGTGTGTTGTATTGTTTTTATGTGTGTTTGTAAAAATAAATACAACAAATTTGCAGAGTTATATAAAAGCTGTGTACATTGTATAGATATATTTATGTCATTTTATAATATATTATCTGTATAAATTAAAATCACCAAACCAATTTATTTCTGGTGCTATGCCTTTTAATTTCTGTAGTACTAGTGGTCATATTTAAGTTTACCATCCTTAAGTTTTGTCCCCTTTCTTAAAATGTTGTACAATCTTAAAATAACATGGCAAAGATATCTCACAACCTCTAAGCAGTACATGTTCATGTTGTATTTTCACGATGGCCACATTTCAGAAAAAAATGTTTCAGTCACCAACATTTAAAAAATGATCTCAAATGTAGAAAATTCAGAAGTATTATACACCATTATGACCTGTCCCATCTGACAGATATCTATATAGAAAGCTTGTTCTGACCAAGACACTGGATCATCTTCAAGTCTCCAACTAACAGGCCATACATGCAAGATTTCTTTTACGTAACGCGGTGGAAGCTGAAACACTAGTATGGTTTAATTTGTGGAATCATGGGAATTTTCTCTTAACACATTTGCCTACATCAAGACTCGCTGTGAATGTATTTTTTATACTTTTATTTGAAATGTCCATTTTCACATTGTTGTTAAAAATGATGTCATGGTGTTTTTCACATTTTTTATTTTGAAGTTTTTAAAATCATATTTTGCATATAAAGGCTGCTTGTTCATCATTGCCATCATTGATTTTTATACATATTCATGAATCTGTTACAAGTTTCTACATCTACTTATCAACTGGCCAGATGTGGTCTTGGACCGACTGGTCAAGGACACGCACAAGGTCAGACTGACTGGACAAGGGCTACATTCGCGTATACCGGTTGAAACCTTACATGTGGCGCAGACATTTTTCCACTATAAAGAACACACTTGGACCCTTCTATAAGCAGAGCTAAAAATGCACAGTTTCGGAGAATAAAAAACAATGTATCAAGAATATTATGCCCTTCTCTCGCGTGTCCACTGAATGTATCTTAAAACTACATGTGGCTTGACATTGTTTTAGAAAGAAATAACGCAAACTGGCAATAGTCAGCATTTTAGTTTCGGACAGGTTCGTCTGGACCCCTCAATCTACGCGTGCCAAATTTTCCTGTGGTCAGCCTCGGTCCAGATCTGTGCCTATCGTTTTCTTTACAGGTTCAATCGGTTCAACCGTTTCAACCGGATACGCTCATGTACCCAAGGTCATACTGACCAGCTGTGGTCACCTGTGTATAGATAGACAAGACAACCCTCTGGAGCTGACCAACACACACCGTAACAATATATTAAATGACATGTTTTATAGAAAACCATTAAAAAATGTATCCTACGTTAATATTTAGTCTTCCAAGTAAATTAAGTGAAAATAGGGAAAGCTGATTATCAAAATGTTTTGTTTTGTTATTGTTGGACATGATTAAAACCTTTTTGTCATAAACAGCATGAAAGGTGCATATAATGTTCATTAATGTGAAATCTTAAAAGAGAGGTTCAAACCTACATGTATTCCAACAAAGATCTCTGTGATTTCAATATTGCTCATTAACTTGTTTTGAAGCACAAATATACTTTTTGTATGTATATGAGTAGACCTTTTAAAATGTTGAAATCTCAGGGTGACACATATTTGTGGATTTGATGGAATTATGAACATTGAAAGCATTTATGGACAGACAGTTGAGCTTTGTTTGTTGGTCAGCTCCGTGACGATGTCCCGAGTTGAGCTTGGTTTGTTGGTCAGCTCCGTGAGGATGTCCTGGGATATTGTTTGCTATGGATGTTACATTGAGTTAACATGTTGTACACATTCATACTGTGTCTTATACCGCCATGTTTGTAGCCCAGTCTACGTGGCCTTGTCCTCACCCTTCAGGCAACGTGTGGCACAAAGAGGAGGACAGGGATGGGTGGACATATGCTGGACAGGTGCGGTTTGTTGATAGAGAAATATGTGCCTCTCTGATATTACCAATAGCTAATATGAAATAAACAATTTTAAAATGTTGATGGTTGTTGTATTATATCTTTGTACAAGAAGGCAGATACTGGTAGTTAGCTTGCAATTGTTGCAACAGCAGTGGGGAAGATAAGCGCCCCCACCCCATTTTGTAATGGACTGTACACCACATAGGAGCCACCCTATGGACAGTGGACCACATAACCTTGACTCTGAAATAATGGTTTGGCAATTCACTTTGAAATTCAGTACACTGATTTATGCACTTGTATGGTATACCTTGAGGTGTACTGCACACTTCCTAGGAGTGATATTGGTATACATACAATTCCAGTTTTTTTTAAATATATCAACTGTTTAAAATTCATACTTATTTGACCTTTGACCTAGAGATCATGGCTAGTGTGTTAATCACATAGCAATGTACATCTTCTACAAGTACAAATACTTAGTTTCAAAACCTCTCTGATTGTTTAACAGTCGCAGCCCAGGACATGATATTTGAAGAATCAAAGTGGAAATTTTGAAGATGTGGAAATGTCTGAGCTTTTCATGTTGAGTGAATTAGTGCGAAAATATCCACATGAATTTATTTATTTATAGTTTATATAGATTATAGACAAATAGAATATGAACATTTCAGAACTTTTGCCGGTACGAAAACTTCCACACTCAATCAGTTTAAACGGTCACAGCATGAACATTTCCACATGCAAACGTTTTCACTTTTACAGTTGTCTCCCTTTTATTTGAGAGGAGACAGTGATTTTAGAGAGGAATACTAGGAATAGTCCAGACATTGTTTACTTACTGTTATTTTAGTGAAACAACAAGAAACCTCAGCATTATTTGCTTACGAATGATTTTCAGTTTTGGAGACTTTTCTTTTTTTTTTAGATAATGAGAATGTCATTACAAACTTTCTCAAAAAATCTGAGCTGGAAAAATTACTGTCACAACAAGATATTACCCGAGGAGGAGAATCTCCAGGAGGCAAACAGACTACAAGATACTTCATTAGTGCATGTTTTATTTCATTCATTTATTATATAGACATGATATAGAGGATCAGATATAAGCAACCTTACACCAAATGTTCAGTCTACGATAAGGTGATTATACATTTACTACATTCACTGCAATGTATGAATCATCATTCTGCTTATCAATGATTTCATGTTTACATTCTTCATAAAGAATGCTGCTTGATCAATAATGTAAGCTTGCTTTTAAAGTATAAAGCTACTCCTCCTTGAATATAACATTTTAAAATAAACTCGAAAAAAATATATATACATGCAGCTGTACTGGCTAGGTTAATAAATCAATCTATATTTTCTATAATAGTACTGGCTTGATCAATGTTAAGATCCGCCCCCCCCCCCCCCCCCCAGTAATATTACCAAAATAGATATAGCTATCAAGGTAACTTGTAACAAAGTATTTTATACTCCATTAGATACTAACCAGTAGGTAGTCAATACCATAAGCCATTCAATGCAAAATGCTGATTGTTCTTTGTGACCCTTATTTGCACTAGACACAGTTAGAATGTTAACAATAATAAAGATATCAAAAACAGTTAGTTAGAACATCTACAAATAAATAGTAAGAATTAATACATCACAGACAATTACAAATCCCCTTGCATAGGGCAGCCATCCACTGTATATTTTAACTAATACTGTATACTGAAATTTGTTGCCGCAGTTTAACATTCACCTTTAAACAAAGTTCATAAAATAACACACATCTCGGATAGCAATGATTCATCGTCCCATACCAACCATCATTCAATATATAAGTTACCTTCTAACCCTTCGGTTATTTTTTGGTAATTTCATAGTGTAAAATAACATCCTACACCTGCATTGTTCATCATGTTTTACATTAAGTATCGTCTTATTGGAAGGTATGGTTGGTTTGTTTGTGCTTTACATCCTCTTAACAATTATGATAACTTGAGGACATGCCAGGTTTTGGTGGTGGAGGAAAGCTGGAGAACCTGAAGAAGAACCACTGACCTGCAGCAAGTACCTAGCGACTGTCCCAAGTAATACTGAGCCATTGGTTGAGGGCTAGTGATCACAGACAGTCAGATGCCTTTACCACTCGGCCCCCACAGCCTTTTATTGGAAAGTAAAATAATGAGTTTGATACAGAGTAATGCTAGGTCTTCTGTTATATAGTTCATAGGATAAACTATATATTCTTCTAGTTGAATTGATTTAACTAACTCTATGAGGTTATTTCCAAAAGATAATCTACCTACTTAATATAGGTAATTGAGAATAAACTCCTCGTATTTCATACAAGTTACAATTATTACTAGAGGATATCTTTTATTTGTACTGAAAATAAAACTGCACCAAATGTAATATACACTAATACTTTTTACATCACATATACACAAATCACATGTTAAGCTGAAACAAGAGGCCCAGAGGGCCTGTATCGCTCACCTGAATATGTTTAAAATAATTTGTATGATGTAAAGATATAGCACTCCATGGTAGGTGCTGTAAGTACATATGAAATTTCAGAAAGATCCATCCAGTACTTGAGATATAGCGAGAACAAACTTCAAACAGAGCCCCCTAGGGGGTCATACCCTCCATTTATATAAATTGAGACCCCTTGGCCAAAGGATGTTCCAGACTAAATAAGGATAAAATCCCTTAATCCCAATGGTCGAAGAAGGATTTTAAAGGTTTTACCTCTATTTCTCCTATTGGGCCCCGCCCTTCTGCCTGCCCCCTGGGAGACCACACCCACAGCTTGTACAAAATTGAGTCCCCTTGGCCCAATGATGCTCTAAACTAAATTAGGATAAAATCCCTTAATTCCTTGGTAGAAGAAGGATTTTAAAGGTTTTACTTCTATTTCCCCTATTGGGCCCCGCCAATCAGGTCATGGGGGGGGGGGCACATCCACCGTTTATACAAAATTTGTTCCCCTTTACCCAAGGATGCTCCACTACCAATATGGACCAAATCCTTTTATTCCTACGGAAGAAGAAGGATTATAAAAGAAATATTTGCTATGTTTCCCCTATTGGGCCCCTCCCCTCAGGCCCCTGGTTGGCCAGAGCCACGGTTTATACACAATTGGTTCCCCTTAACCCAAGGATGCTTCAGACCAAATATGAGTCCTTTCATTCCTACAGAAGAAGAAGGATTTTAAAGAATTTGCTATATTTTCCCTATTTGGCCCTGCCCCTCAACCCCCAGGGAGGCCAGACCCACGGTTTATACAAAATTGGTTCCCCTTGACCAAAGAATGCTTCAGACCAAATATGGACCAAATCCTTTCATTCCTACAGAATAAAAAGGATTTTCAAGAATTTGCTATGTTTCCCCCTAATGGACCCATTAGGGGAAATATAGCAAGGATGCTCCTGAATAAATGTTAGAAGAAGGATTTTAAAGGTTTTACCTCTACTTCCCCTATTGGGCCCCGCCCCTCTGCCCCCAGGGGAGCCACACCCACCATTTATAAAAAAGAATGCTCCAGACCAAATTTAGTCAAAATCTACTTGGCCGTTCAGGACTAGTAGCGTTTTAAAGGAAAAGTTGACGGACGGATGGACGACGGATGCTGTGGTATGGCATAAGCTCACCATGGTCCTTCGGACCAGGTGAGCTAAAATTTACATATTATATATGTTATCCTTGTAAATAACCTTCACATAAACACAATTTTCACATTTCACAACCCCAAACAAACTTGACGAAGTGGACAAGGTTGATCATTATAGAACAAGTTTTCCTCTCTATTCAAACTTGTCCCTGTATTTCAGTCATTTCACCACTCAGTAACTTTAACCTGTGACCAAAGGTGGCAGAATTAACAAGTGTCCATGATATATGGTTTGTAACTGCACGTTCCTTCTTGCATAAAAAAGGATATCATGATTTTATGCATATATATCACAATTAAATTGTTTTCGAGATAGTTTGTAAAAATATTACAGATTTCAGTTATAAAAATTAGATCATTTGAATGAACATGATATAACAGTGAGCTTGAATTAACATTCCATGCTACTTATGTCGTCCTCGTAAACTAGTGGAACAAAACATTTTGCCCAGCTTGGATATAAAACTAACCCCAAAATCTATTAACCCTTTCACCCCTAGGTAACTTTGGTAGACTCTACCATACATTGATCTAGATGAGTCCATTATGGTCTACAGTGGTGAAAGGGTTAAATTAGCTAAGATTAAAAACCTAAAATAAATTTAACCTCTGGTTAAGTGACAAAGCAACTTGAGTATTAGTTTTGGTTAATGAATTAGTATCGGGGCATACAAGTAACCACAACTACAAAATCTGACAAACGCATGTAATGGACATTTCTCACCACCAGGTTCAAGACTACTGTCGAAGATATCAGTACTGGTTAATACCAAATATTTTTAAAACAACAAATTACAATTATGATGACTCCATGTTTGTTTATTATGTTGTATGGCAGTCACAATCTACTGTAAGGCAGTCTCTAAAATAACTCACAACTTCCTTACTAAAGCTAAATATGTCATAACATATTCAATAAAAGATTGCAGGGTAAATAAATACTTTATTTATGCTATAAATTTAGGATATTTATTTTGATACTCTTTTCTAAAAAATATTTCTTATCCCATTAAAAACTTTAACTTACGTTGGCCAAAATAAATACATTTTTCCAGGAATGTGCAACTCTTAGACGTAATTATAATGCATTTTATAATTGTCATTATGGTGATGACATAATTGAAAGTGATATTACACAATGAAATGTAATCCCTAACATGAAAGTCATAACAGAATATTGCAATAGTATATTAGCTGAATGACAGGACTTGTATGTACATATTGCAGAAGTGATGAACTGATTAAATCCTACTGATTGTCAATGTAAATGGAATTTGAGTACATGTAATAACACAGAATCTTGGTAATTGTTCCACAGCAGAGTTGCATTGAATACTTTATAAAGAAAATCTCTGATTTCTTTATTTGATACAACTGTACAGAAATGTTCTCTGTGATTTCTTTATTTGATACAACTGTACAGAAATGTTCTATGTGATTTCTTTATTTGATACAACTGTTCAGAAATGTTCACTGTGATTTCTTTATTTGGTACAACTGTACAGAAATGTTCTCTGTGATTTCTTTATTTGATACAACAGTACAGAAATGTTCACTGTGATTTCTTTATTTGATACAACTTTACTGAAATGTTCACTGTGATTTCTTTATTTGATACAACTGTACAGAAATGTTCTCTGTGATTTCTTTATTTGATACAACAGTACAGAAATGTTCACTGTGATTTCTTAATTTGATACAACTGTACAGAAATGTTCTCTGTGATTTCTTTATTTGATACAACTGTACAGAAATGTTCTATGTGATTTCTTTATTTGATACAACTGTTCAGAAATGTTCACTGTGATTTCTTTATTTGATACAACTTTACTGAAATGTTCACTGTGATTTCTTTATTTGATACAACTTTACTGAAATGTTCACTGTGATTTCTTTATTTGATACAACTGTACAGAAATGTTCTATGTGATTTCTTTATTTGATACAACTGTTCAGAAATGTTCACTGTGATTTCTTTATTTGATACAACTTTACTGAAATGTTCACTGTGATTTCTTTATTTGATACAACTGAACAGAAATGTTCACTGTGATTTCTTTATTTGATACAACTGAACAGATTTGCATTAAACAGAAACTCTAAGGCCAAAGAAAATTGTTTACTTGGTTCTTAGGCCAGCACGCATTTCATTTTAGGGCATCGCCGATTTTATCGTGAAAGTAATAAAAAAAAATCATGAATGCGCCAGCCGCCGTCTTTAAAAATCGCCCTCGTCTCATTTTTGCCATGTAAAATGAAAGAAAAAAAAAATACCGCCCTGCCGCATCTCTTTTGAAAAAAATTGGCCTGAGAACCAAGTAATTAATTTTATTTGGCCTTAGAGATCTCTTCATATTAACATACAGTCAAACTTGCATTAAAAGACCTCTTATCTTGAAAGACCAAAAAGTGATATCTTAAACACAGGTGGTCTCTTAATACAGGTTCAGTTCACAATGAAATCAATATACCAGTAATGGCAAACATTAAAAGTGTCTCCTAACACAGGTGGACGTTTAATGGAGGTGTTCAGATGAGCATGTATGGATATCCTATTTGTATGGGTAATTTCCACATGTACAGGTAAGTCGGAGAGTTGTACAGCAGTTAGCAGCTTACAGGTGTGGTCAACTGAAGGTATCCAGCATCAGTTGCTGTACCTCGGCCCTGTGTACCTCCCCGATCCCAGTGGCTGGGCAGCCTAGGTGGTCACGGCCAACATACCGCGGCTGCAATTAAACAAATTCATTTGTCACACTTTATTTGACAATACAGTTTAATATAACAATGTATTACTGAAAACTAATATTTTCACCAGTTCAATATTTGCTTTTGAATCCTTCCAAACAAATATTCTTATTGTTCAATTTACTTTACTGTCAGAAGTTTTAACTACAGCAGATATCTAACAATTGTTTGAATTTGCCCTCTTGTTCAGGGATGGAAAATGTGAAAATGTAAAACAGGTTAAATTATTTTCCCATTCGAAAAATGTGGTTATAAGCAAATGATGTCAGTGAAATGAATTTCAGTAACAGGAGCTTTTCAATCTTACAACAAGGTTACCGCGAGCGGTATATAATACGCCCGTCACACATTGAATGAGCAGTTGTTTGTATGATTGAAATATATGAAGTATTTGTGAGTAATTGATATTAAAAGAGAAATCATTCAACATAACTGGTAGATCAATGAGTGCAATNCCTGACCGCTCACGTGATAACATAATACGTCCCCGTCTTCGACGGGCGTATAAAAAAGAGATGAATTCACTGTTTTGTTCCAGACAAATAGCACTTTTTTTGTTTGAGGATCATTAATAGTAGCTTAAACTCTCAGCATAAGTATGGACTGTTGAGGATCCTCACCTTACATCCCACAAGGTTTTCAAACCTAGGAGAGACGAACGTCCAGGCTCCCATGTTACGGTGCTCTTCCTGGCTCCACACAAAATCTGTCCTCAAACAAATTAAAATCATGTGATGAATACTCCATGTCGTATTCTATATTGTCAAGAACAGAAGTATAACATTTAGTGAACAAAAATAGTCCAATCACGCAAATGTTTTCATGTAGCACTTTGTGATCATAGTATATATTGAGAGACTGGACTAGTACCTGGTATGAAACCAATCAGCACAGAAGTTGACCCGCCGCAATTAATCGATGCAAATGTCAACCAGGGAGTTATAAGAGAATATTGCAGGCGTATTGACTCAGGGTTATTTATTAAAAGACACCATTGATGATCAATTCATTGAGATTCCTAATGAAATAGTGAGTAAACAGAAGATCACCTTTGGCACTGGGAAATTTAAGAAGCTCTGCCTGCAGTTCTGCCGTGGGGAATGGACACAGACTCTGAAATATGGACATCACAGTTCAATGTTTGGAATTCTTTGTTTAATCACTAAGTCAATTAATCCAAAAAAGAATCCTTAAATACTTGAAAATAACAGTATTATAATTTGTGTTACAATAATTGTAATTCATGCTATACAACATTGTAATTTTTCTCTATAGCAAAATTCTCTCATCAAAAACATTATTCCAGACATTTTTATTAGATACACTGATAGATGAATAAGTACCTCCATTAGTGTCTGATATGTGATAAGGTAGGTGATAACAAGAGTATCAAACAGTATATAATAACTTGAGTGCTTGTGTGGCTGTCCTTGCCTATTTTGTTTGCTACCTTAATATGCATATCTCTCTCAGCCATTGAAATAATGATACAGAGATTGACCTTTATGTAATACACATTATGCATTTGTTAATTGGCATTACAATGTATACGCATTTGTCATTTGACAATAAGCTTTTCGCATTTGGCACTGTGTATCAGCCTTCCATATGTAACTCTTTCAGTCATACTATAATGGTCCTCATTTCTCATGTCTTACACTTTATACTTACTTCAAGCCTTACGATGGCTGTGTCCTGTAGATTTTTACTGTCCCTCTCTTTCTGTAGGTTGTAGAAGTGCTTGCCAGTACAGAAAATAACCTTAGTGACTTTATCTCCTTTGACCCCAGGGTCACCGAGGACAGGCTTAAAACTAGTGCCGGGTGCCATGTCGGACAGGGAGGACATGGCAGCTTGCAAACGGAGCAGAACCTTCGGGGCGACCACAACCAGGGGTTTACGGAAGTTACGCACCATCTGTGATCAAAAAGTCATATCCAATTAAATAACATGTTTATTTAATAGTAGTCATAATGACCAACATATTAAACTTTACAAACTGACTCCTTTATTTTATTGTCAACTGTTGTTATTTGACTCTTCTGATTATTGTTTAAATGTATCAATGTTATTTTTGTACAATACATGCTTGAACTTGTAATCTATACTAATGGGCTATATAATTTATATTTTTAATTCAAAAGGAACAGATGGGGAAAACAGAAAGCACATCGAAGCGATGTTTCCTAGTTGGCGTTACTAACCTGTCTCCTGAGCAGGTGGAAGTACTGGGCAGACGTTGTGGGGTTGGCTACCTGTAGATTGACTTGGTCACTGTCCACCTTGTGTTCACTGCTGTCACACATCTGTAGGAAACATCATATCATGGTCACCTTAGTCATATGTTTACTGTGAACTCAGTTATTGTGATGTCATGCTTATACTGCAGTGTGTCACCAACAAAGATTTCTCCTATGAACATTTGATTCTATTTTACATGTAACAAACTAATTCTTAGGTGTAACATGGTTCAGTATAAACATGTTTAACTATATAAAAGAAAAGTTTCCGGGGATAAAACACTCAAACATATATATTTTACATTTTTTTGCCACTCAATTATTTCCTGACTGAAAAAGTTAAGTTAAAATTAACCCAAAATTTCCCTTTAAAATGACTTTATTATCCTTACTATGTTTTTGATTTGACAAAACCTAATAGGAAAAAACACATAACTTTTACATTAAGACAGCTTATGTCAAAAGCTGTAGTTTTTACCTGTAACTATCAGTCTACAGAGTATATCTTGGAGCTTACCTGTAACCATCAGTCTACAGAGTATATCTTGGAGTTTACCTGTAACTATCAGTCTACAGAGTATATCTTAGAGCTTACCTGTAGGAACCTTTCCATGCGACAGGATGAGTGTTCTGGTCCGGCTCCATCCATACCATGTGGTAGTAACATAACAAGGCCAGATTGTAACAGCCACTTGTCTGTAACACACAAATAACACTGACACCAGTCACAGTGCAACAGTTTATATACTGAACATTAACAACAGCAATGCCCTGGATCCAGGTTTATCTCACTCTATCAGCTAATCAAATGCCAGTTATGCCACTGTATAAAGGTAACATTTAAATGAAATTATGTAACATTTCCTTAGTTACTAAAATCGTACTTAAACCATGCATGTTCTGGGATTAAAAATGATCACTTTTTGATAAAGATTATAAAAAAATGAAAACTTCATAAATTTATACAACCAAGTCCTTGGCTGCTTTCATTTATCCATTTCAAATAGCTTTGCTTAAAAAACAAACAGTATATTTACAGCACATTTCTGTGCCACCTGAAATGTTTCAACCAGATAAACATAAAAGTGGCAACTGCCAACACTACTTATAACCTACCCTCTCCACTGCCAACACTACTTATAACCTACCCTCTCCACTACCAACACTACTTATAACCTACCCTCTCCACTGGCAACATAAGTGTCGATGATGATCTGAGCTCCATTAAAGAAATCTCCAAACTGAGCCTCCCAGATGACTAGGTTCTTTGGGTTCTCCAGACTCATACCATATTCAAAGCCGAGAACTGCCTCCTCAGTCAGCGCACTGTTGGCCACCTTCACAGAAACAACACCTTCAGTTAGCCCGAGTGTCTAGGTGCTTTTACAGAGAAGTTGTACAAGAAGAGGGGTAGGCAAATTAGAAATGTATGGATAATGGGGTAATTCAAATTCTATCAATTATTCCATTTTTGCTTTTTTCACTTGATGAATCTTTTAAGAGGTTCCGGATAAATTGCCTGATAATAGAAATAGTTCTAAATAAATACACATTTGGCCCAAATGAGATTAGAAGAATATATAACACAAGTGAAAACCGTAGTCATATACAGTGCTGTAGGTCAAGTAGTCAATGATCTTATTTATAAGTCCATTGATGTAGTCAGACCTCATTAAATCAAAGACATTATGACCATAAAAATCAATGACAAACAAATAGTGTATAGATGTTGTACCTCCATGAACCCTGTCTGATTGTCAGAAATGTGGTTGAGGGGAATGACAATGTTATCTGTCTCCTGGTCTACAATCATCCCGTGTCTGTGACTGAATGTGCCACGTCCAACGTCCTGTCCACTGATCCGCACATTAAATCCTGAGGGGTTAAAATGTAGAGAAAGTCTTTGTAATACCAGCAGTTTTGAAACTTAAAAACGTTTACTCTTTTTTGTAAAACAGGTTTAATATGCAAAACAAGTGAGAAATATAGGTAAACATAAACAAATGTTAGCAACCTTGACCTTTGGTCATCAGTCTCACCAGATTCAATTCCTCAAACCAAGTGACAATTGCATGACTGGATGGACAGAACACACATAGCCTAATGCATACGAATCTCAAAGAGTGTTCTATATATTAAGTCTGGCAGCACAATGTCTCACTCACCCTGGTACAGGAGTGATCCGAATGCCAGAGCCTCAGTTGTCGCCCAGTCTAGGTCCCGCCCCTCCGTTATCCTCTGTAGACGTCGCTCTACATGGGTCTTCTGTATGGTAGGGTGCACATTCTATATATAGAAAACATTTATACTGTTTTACATTCGACCCTTAGACTTTATACACCACACCTAGGGACACCAAGGAGTACAAATAAGGAATAGGTATCAACACTTTCACCTGGCTGTCTATCAATATGTAAAGTGATAAGTTCAACAGAGATTTATAAATATAAAGTTGGTAGAGGGACATGTCTACAAGGAGATTTATACAGGAATAGAGTAATTTCACCTGATCATGAGGTATGTCTATACAGGGGTTCAGTAATTTTACCTGGTCTGGAGGTATGTCTACTGACTTGGCTCCCACAAACTTAAGGATATCTGTTGCTACACCTGTGTCCCATGTTGACACAGAGTCGGATGCTTGGACCAGACCTGACCACTGTTGTTGTAGGTGTCGCTGCTGTAAACAAAACAGTCTATTACTAGTCACGATGTAAGTAACTGTTCTTATCTTCTACAATACTGGTAATTGGTGGACATCCATCTCACCTCTTATTTAAATTTCTATCCATTTTTTTTTATTGAATCGGCTGTACCACATTGTGTTACTATGATTTACATCCACTCTATGTCAAGGATATGATGCATTACTACTTTTCTATAGAAACCCTCTTATCATTAGGAGCTTGCGGTACATTTAAAGTTAGTCATCTCCCCTTACTTGAATGACCCATGAGGTAAGGCATATCTTTACTGTGAGACATATGGAATGTTACATTATGTTGAGGGCCTATATGTACCTACATGTGAGACATATGTAACGTTACATTATGTTGAGGCCCTACATGTGCCTACATGTGAGACATATGTAACGTTACATTATGTTGAGAGCCTACATGTACCTACCTGTGGGACAAATGGAATGTTACATTATGTTGAGGCCTACATGTACCTACCTGTGGGACATATGTGTCCACTCTACTCATGTCCTTGGCCAAAGTCTCGGACCACTCCTGGACAGCCTGGTCCAGCACATCCCGCCCACAAACACCCTCATCCTGCAAAGGGAGACACCAATAAATAAAGATACACCACACTCGCAAAATACTTCAAACTGAACTATGCATCAAGACATAGCGTATAGCATTATTTATATACTGAACCATACCATGGTTAAGTCCCTGAAGTCTAGAAGCAAGCTACACTTGTTATTTTTATCAAATTGCCTTTCTTATTCTTATTTTTGTTTCCTTTTAGAACAGTATCAGTATACACACTGTACAATATATTATATAAAGACAACATCTATTCCAAAATCTCTATAATATACTATCTTCAAGTATTTTTTTTTCCCAAACCAGGTTCGTCTTGCATATTGTATCCTTGGTCTAGTTTGAATAATAAAACTTTTCCCCACCCCTCCCCGTCAGATATACCCACCACAAGTTTGTTGGCGTACATGTCCGGTATACTGGTGCGGCTATTGATTGCCTGATACATGATAGGTTGAGTAAAGGATGGATCATCTATCTCATTGTGGCCGTACTTCCGGAAGCATATGAAATCAATGATGACATCCTTACGGAACTTGTTCCTGTAGTCCATGGCTATAGAAGTGGCTCTCATCACATCCTGTAATAATTCATGATTTTCATGGAAACAAGCGGTGGTGGATCTATAATCTACCAGGAGAGGGAGCCTTACTGACAAACAGAGTGTAAAGTTTTAAAAAATATATCATGACATTTTCTGGAAAACGGATTTCATTTCATCCATGAAAATATTTTGAGGGGTTCTTTCTCTCTGAAAAACCTCTACTTACACAGGACCTTTATCTGCTTACCTCAGGATTATCGGCATTAACGTGTAGGACAGGGTAACTGTTCATTTTGGCCAAATCACTGCAGTATCTTGAGGACCTGAAGTGAAATTGAAACAATATTGTGTGGAGGAACACACTCAGAAAGTACAGTTTTGTTTACACATTTGACTTTCAAAACAACATATCAACAACAAACTATTACTGTAAGTGATACCCTACAAGTACATGCTATATGAGTAACATACAATATCTAAGGGTGATGATCCCATCAATCTGAATCAATCTTCACAACTGTTCTCTAGCCTCTAAACTATGTCAGCAATAAGACATAATGGTGAAACCAGACATACCTGCCTCACTCTGCCTCTATTGTAAACCAGACATACCTGCCTCACTCTGCCTCTATTGTATACAGTACATACCTGTCTCACTCTGTCTCTATTGTATACAGTACATACCTGCCTCACTCTGTCTCTATTGTATACAGTACATACCTGCCTCACTCTGTCTCTATTGTATACAGTACATACCTGCCTCACTCTGTCTCTATTGTATACAGTACATACCTGTCTCACTCTGTCTCTATTGTATACAGTACATACCTGTCTCACTCTGTCTCTATTGTATACAGTACATACCTGTCTCACTCTGTCTCTATTGTATACAGTACATACCTGTCTCACTCTGTCTCTATTGTATACAGTACATACCTGTCTCACTCTGTCTCTATTGTATACAGTACATACCTGTCTCACTCTGTCTCTATTGTATACAGTACATACCTGTCTCACTCTGTCTCTATTGTATACAGTACATACCTGTCTCACTCTGTCTCTATTGTATACAGTACATACCTGTCTCACTCTGTCTCTATTGTATACAGTACATACCTGTCTCACTCTGTCTCTATTGTATACAGTACATACCTGTCTCACTCTGTCTCTATTGTATACAGTACATACCTGTCTCACTCTGTCTCTATTGTATACAGTACATACCTGTCTCACTCTGTCTCTATTGTATACAGTACATACCTGTCTCACTCTGTCTCTATTGTATACAGTACATACCTGTCTCACTCTGTCTCTATTGTATACAGTACATACCTGTCTCACTCTGTCTCACTCTGCCTCTATTGTAAACAGTAATTACCTGCTTACTTTGCCTGTGTTTTATACAATACTTATCTGACACACTCTGCCTCTATTGTAAACAAGACTTACCTGCCTCGCTCTGCCTCTGTTGTATAAAATACTTACCTGCCTCACTCTGGCTCTATTGTAAACAGTAATTACCTGCTTACTTTGCCTGTGTTTTATACAACACTCTCTGTCTCTGTTGTATAAAATACTTACCTGCCTCTCTCTGTCTCTGTTGTAAACAAGACTTACCTGCCTTGCTCTGCCTCTGTTGTAAACAAGACATACCTGCCTTGCTCTGCCTCTGTTGTAAACAAGACTTACCTGCCTCGCTCTGCCTCTGTTGTAAATCCCACCTGGTTGTTGATGATCAGATGTACACTGCCCCCGACTCTGAAGTGGGGACATTCAGCAAAGGCAAAGGTCTCCGCAACAACTCCCTACAATATATATTTACATAATATACATTTATACCTATATCAAAAAACTTTATTCACTGGTTATCATTTATGGTCACAGAGTACTGATTTTAACAAACCTAACTTAAAAATACCAAGTTCCAACTAGAACCGAGGCATACTGAAATGTATGACATTAATAGATCAAAGAGGAAATTTCTGTAACTTAAAATGTCTTTGATTATCTCTGATCAATTGCTTTAAACAAATTTGAACAAATTAACACTTATTACCTGAGCAGAAAAGGAGGCATCGCCATGCACCTGTAGACAAAGGACCTTGTCCCCGGGGACCGTCCCCTCCTCATCACAGTAGTCTCCCTCTCTCAGAGCCTGCTGCTTGGCTCGCACCTTCCCTGCAGCTACTGGGTTGTTAGCCTACAACACATAGCCAATTAGTGGCACTAATTTCTCATCTTCACTTCATTATACACGGACACTACTGTTTCAGTTTGGCGACAACAAAATTAAATTCTTCCTTCTATATTGTATCAAAATCTACTGATTTCATTAAAAAAAAAAAATCAGATACCATGTCTATTTTCAAAAGTAATGTAGATATGGCGACATGTTTGAAACCATCTCCCATTGAATAATAATTGACAATCGTTAGATGATTTAATCTTAAATAATCAGCTTATCATGTAATTTACAAATACACTGTACAAAAGTTGATATGTCAAGTGTAGGTAGTTTTTAAGCGTAATGGAGGTTATCATCTTTTCCATGTCTCTGCTAGGATTTGAAAATCTGGTTTACTTGTCTGAATAAACTATGCCATACAGAATATTTCAAAGGGTGTCAATTTTTACCTTTAACTTTTTAAACATTTTTGGAAAACCTAAAATATTGCAAAAAAGAAATATCATTCACCTTGGAATCTTATTGATATGTTTTTAAGTCTCACCTCTAAGTGGGAGGGGTTTGGAATCAGGGACACATGTATATCTTCACTGCCATATTTCAGATCAACAGATGTATCTGCAAGAAAAAAAATCGTTTTTTATCAAACAACACACCATTGGACTCATTACCTATTTTATACCCAATATTTTTTAGTAATCACTCTATCTTAGTTCAGAACCAATAACATACGTACACGTGTGAGAAAGCACATCTCCTGTCCCTTTGGCACCAGGAGGGAGCTCGCTCATCCCCTTCATCTGAAAATCAACATAAAATACACCATAGCAATGTTCATCTGAAAATCAACATAAAACATACCATAACAATGAATTTCATTATCTCAAGAAAATTAAAACCTTAGTTTGATTTAGATGGTTTGTACAGTGATTTAGGAGGTATGCACAGTGGTCACATAATGTATCAAATCATCATACTAAATATTCTAAATCTGATGCAATATACAAAGTGGATTTGGGTCTCTCTTAATAAAAAGATATTTCATACTTTACATGTAGAAATTAATAAGCATCAAATGAAGCCAATTTCATCAGAGGTATAACATGAAATTGTCAGACCTGCTCTGTCACATCAAACTGGTGTCCACAACAAATTATACCTATGTACTTATCAAATCAATCATAATTACACCTACAGAGCTTCATATCTAAATATATATTTTTATATTTAATACAAATACAGGTTTTTGCAGTATTTCAAGCCTAAAATGTCATCGGTGCAATTTGTGCTGGGTTTTACAGTAATTGCCTGATGTTCACCTTCTGGTACATGATAACAGGAGGGAACTGTAACATACAGGTCAGAAAGTTCAGGCGTCCTCTGTGGGGCATACAGATCACTATATCAGAGATTCCACCTGAAAAATCAACCATACACATGTCAACCACTGGAGAAAATGATAGTTAACTCATTCACCCCTGAAATTTCATAATGAACTATTCCAACCTTTAAATTTGAAGAGCTCAAATGTGTCTTCAGGGGTGAATGAGTTAAGTGGACACAAATAATATTCTCTCAGCTACTTAATTCCATGGCTGTTGTTCCCCATACAATGATATGTTTTTTTGAAATTTGAGTTACAGTTAGCACAAATCAATAATTTCTGCGGTTTATAATCCCCTAAACAACAAGATCTGTCTTCTATACTTTGTCACATGTTTTGAGACATATTAGTGCATTGACATTTTCCATCTTCATATATATATATCTATGAAAAATACTGCTTAATGCATGCCATATTTTGTGTTGATACAATATACACTGATATTTTCTCTCTGAAAAAATAATCTTATACATTGTGTTTTTCACTTCTGCTAGTATTTTTTATGTGACATGAAATAGATGTGTAGGGTCATTATAAGTATACATGTAAAATACAAGATGAAGTCACATCATTTTTCCAAATACTTACTCTCTGAGCTCTTCTCGAAAATTTCTTTAAACATTCCCATCATACTTTCACCCCCTTCTCCTCCATATCGCTTCACGGTTGTGAACTTGTTAGACAGGAAATGGTCAAATCCCTGTATGGCAAAAAAAACACCAAAAAACATTAATATAAGGTAGTCATATGTAGTAAACAGTTTTGCACCTTGAACAAAATCTTCCTGTCTTGTTTTCATAAGCAAATATTACTAATAAACAAGTACGTTTTAAAATATGTATCAATAAATATACCTGGCATCTCAACATAAGTGTTGCCAAGGAAACCTTCTGATCCGGGGAGAATTCTTTGTTTTGTTTTGATTCGTATGCTTCTGCAAACCAGTTGCGTTCTTCTTCTGTCTGAAGAAAAAAAAGGATAAAGAAATTGTTAATAGACAATTAAAAATAACAGTAATATTTAAATATGTCGACAATTTGTTTTAAATGTCTAAACAACATTAAAAGGAACTGTCAACACATGCTTAAACATGTTACCTAAACAGACCAATATTGTTTTCATTTTACCTAGTAATTGGGGTAAATTAATGTTTCATGGGTACAAGCTACATTTAAGTGATGTAATTACCTCTAGATGGTCAAACTCTACAGCCACATGTCCACAATACTCGTGCTCCAGAAACTTGACCAGCTGGGAAAGGTTCATTGTAGCCTGGTCAGTGTGTAGGATACCCTCGGTGGGGAAACTGTCCTGGCTGTCCACTGACAAACCATATTTAGAGGGACACAGCTCAGGGACATCTCTTGAGAAAAGACCAAGCAGAATGAATTATGCAATTATTTCAAGATCTGTGTCCAAAATAAGTAGATTCCGATACTAGAATATGATTAAAAGTGAAAGTGATACATCATATTGTAAAAAGAAGAGCTGTATCCATCATTTTAAATATAATTGAAGCTTTTAATATACAAAATCATTCATCAATTCCACTGTTATTCAAAAACATTTCCTTCGCCTGAAATTCGTTTACGTTTTACCCAACCTTACTCGACAGTCTGCAGTCCGAGAGGGTCCAACGAGGCTTGTCTATGGCCATACTTTCTGTAGGCTTCCACAAATCGGTACACATTGGCATGCTGTGCTCGGTTTGAAATGGCACTCTGGCTGACATCTTCAAATACATAATTAGCAAAATCTATTAATTGTAATACAAGAATTTTTCAAATAGAACATAATAAGTATGCCAATAGTTCTCACTTTTCGAACATTTTAAAAGTTTAACTTGTTTTTCTTGTTTTTCTTTAGCAAAAGCCAATAATCTATATATATATACAGTGTACCAAGACAAATGTTTGACAATATGTTCTCATGAGTAAGCCTTTTGTCATTAGTGTAAAGATCCAGAAAACCACATATACCTCAATTTAAAGTACTGAAGTATGTAAAATCTAACTGGTTATTAAGTATGGGACAATATTTCACTAAGTTGGATAAATGATCCAAATTTTTACAAAGGAGAAAGAAGCATGGAAATGTGCAATTTGCAACAGAATTTGTATTAATGCATCAGTAGGGGAATAAACTGATTTCAAGAAAATGTTTCCGTCACCTTACATAAACGTAGGATACATTATACAATGATCTACAATATGAACAATTTAATAAAGCATTTTATGCATCAGCATTTGTATAATTATAAAATGGAATGCTATTGACTAATTGCTCCTGTGCCTATCCCTTGTATGACATAAGACTTGGTGCTTGACGGACTTCCATGACTTTAAAAAAATCAAACAACATGCTCCTACAATTTCTGAATCAGACGTATGTATATTACAGTTATGCTTGCAACATGTATCTTGTAACATCTGATATAAAACACTCCAGCCTGCAATATGGTTTTATACAAGTTGCATGCATGTATATTGCCCAAGAATACAGCTGAATACAAATTATCAGCCAGAAGTTTAGATATTGTACAATTTGATCAGTTCATTCTTTCTATAGAAATGGAATGTCAGAGATAAATCACATTTATGAATTTGAGAATGTAAGACATCTACACTTCTACCAACATGTAAATTGGTTTCATCAGAATATCTAACCACAAATGAAGGCACTAGATCAATAAGATGATTTTTCTATTTATAGTTTCAGTGACCTTAACATTTTAATTTGTATAAAATGCTGAAATGTTAACTTTTTTAACATACCTTGGTACTTTTAAGCCCTGATGAACTTCATAAAAATCCAACCACAAATAGTTAGAGAGATATGTTGCTTCAATTTACAATAATGATAGCAACATGTAGGTGTTAGAGGGATAGCAGACTTAATTTTTGGTGCACAATTCAAGCTTCAGGGTATCTAACCTTTGTAATAAATTAACCACAAATGAAGGTGTAAGAGGGAAAAGTTTTGTAGTTGGTGGGAGCATCCGACTAGAGTTTAGAGGTCCCTGGTTCAAAGCCTGGTCTGGCTTCAGCCCTATTGCATTTTTCTTCTCCACATACCATCTCTTGTTTCAAGTATAAGTGCAATATTAACAGGGAATATCCGAACCTGTGTGGTAAATAGTGTTGTGTTTGGGGACAGAGTTTTAGAAACAAAGCTGAACAATGTGTGTAGAGCTGTAGGATTGAGTGGGATGACTACCAGTGACCAAATAGCTTGTCCGATCTGTCCATCCTTTAAGTTTTAAGGTCTTTGGTTCGAATCCCTGTCCGGCCTTGTCTGTGTATTTACAGCACATAGGTTGTCTAACGTCACACTACCACAATTTGGACACTTCCAATATATGTCATAATAATGAGATAGCTAAGTTGTTATTACAAGATTGTAAGTCGTTATTATGACAAAACTATGTCATTAATACAACATAGTTATCTCATAAAAATGTCATAGCTATGTCATAATAACAATTGACTATCTTGTAATAACGACTTTTTATGTTTTACTAACAATTTATTATCTTGTAAGAGAGCCATAGTTATCTCGTCATAACAACTTAGTAATGAATTATTAATATCTTGTAAAAATGATTTACTTTCTCAGTAATAAGAACATAGCTACGAGATAGTAAGTTTTTGGTTTGTTTGTGTCTTACATCCTATTAACAGCTGGTCATTTAAGGATCTGGTCATTTAAGGATGTGCAAGGTGTAAGTGGTGGAGGAAAGCCGGAGTTCCCCGATAAAAACCACCGACCTACGGCCAGTAATAATAATAATATACAACCTTTGATATAGTGCCCTATCTAGCTAACCTAAGCCACTCTAAAGCGATTTACAGTACATAGATATGCAATTTATACAATCAATACAATTAGCATATACATTAATATGATTTTGAGGAATTCGCAGGAGCTGCCTTATCAGGCGCTAACTATTAGTCCTATGTCACCTTGCTGATATCTCCCTATGTGTGTAAGCCTGTGTGTGTGCTGGAGATGTATTGTGTTCTGTTTGTAGTGGGACTATGCTTATAATTACAACAGTATCATTTATAGTGCCACCTCACTTGAATTCAACAGCACAGATTATGAGATACTGCAAAATCCACCCCAGACCATCTTATACTCCACTTGGGTTGTTGGAGTTGTGTGGGCAGGAGAAAAACACTTTCTCTGAATATTTCATGCGTACGACTTCAGGGATTGCCTCACGTAGGTCTTACGAGATAGTAAGACATTCTTATGAGATGGCGCTATGTCATAATAACGACTTATTATCTTGACTTGTAATAACAACTTGGCTATCTCGTAATAACGACTATATAGCTGTGACGTTATACTGAGCTAGATATGTCATTATTATGTCTTTATTATGATATAACATTTCCAGGAATAAGATATGGAATAAATTGTACCCATGCATTGAGTTAGTGTTATTTTTTTGTGAAATAAATATTTCTGAAATTATAGATTATTTACAGTCGTGGATTTAACCTCTTTTTTCCTGTTTACGGCAAATAACTTTTATTTGCTTCAGCCAAATAATTTCCCCTAATGTTGTCACAATATCAATCAATCAATCAATCAACTTTATTGCATTTTACATCCAATTTACAAGGATCGAGCTGAAAACATCAAACAAACATTGATACTGTATGACAGCAAAAACTACATACTACTGCCTTCCTCAGTTCAAATGACTTTTTAATAAAGAGGCTTATTTCCTGCAAAAGCTGTGGGTCATTAGATGACAATAATAATATTAAATTTTGTAGATCAGGCAATGATGGGTTAATTTTAATTTTTTGGAGAAACGTAGTCCTGATATTTATTTTGCATTTAAATATAAAATGTACTTCATCTTCTACAGTATTGTAGAATTTACATAGTCGAGATTGTCGAGGAATCTGTTTAGATCTACCAGCCTCAATTTGTAAATTGTGGTTGCTTAGTCTCAGCTTTGCCATCAATTTTCTATATTCAAAGTTGGGTAACGATAGGTAGTGCTCCTCTGCATACTTTTTTTAAAAATGTTACTGTATAGAAATAACTTACTATTTTCGTCCAAACTATGCATTTTTTCAAAAAAGTAAGATTCAAATTTAGCATGTATCGACTTTTTAAACAATAGTTTCATTTTCCTTTTCTTTTTTGCAAAGAATGGGTCGTGATGAAAGTCATAGTTAATATTATTATTCTTTTTTATTTGGGAAACATATGTAAACCATGTATATATCCCCTTTTCATGGAGTTGTTTATTTACTTTTAACGACTCCTTTACAAGTACATTTATATCATTTTGTGAAATCCTTGCCAAAATATCAACACGTTCCCAAATTAAAGGAGGTGTGTCCCGTAACATCCAATCACTAGCGTTGACCTTGACACCGCTTTAACGGGAACTGTACCGCTCATGGTTTCACTACAAAATATTAGTCATAATAACAACAAAAAAACAATGCGCTGCCCTCCAAAAGGATGTTGAAATATGAGATCAATACGGAAAAATATCATGAATACATTTTGTATAATGCTACCTGTACAGTACAGTAAATGCATCCACCGTTGCTCTGTTGCTTGGTCGGGGAAAATGTCAGGCTATTTCAAGACATGCAACGTCATATTTACCTGTCGAATCACGTTTCTTTAATGGCTTGAATCCGTAAACACCTTTTTGTGAGTGATAGCATGCCGTTACCGCTGGATTCAACCTTCCTTTTGTGCACAAACACCGAAGTTTCGACAGTAACATGACTGGTGGTCCGTGTTTTGTGTTTACTACTTTTTCTACCTCCGATTGAAGAGCACCATATTTTGCGGTTGCCTCCCCTTGACCATGATATAAACTAAACTTTATCCAAGAATATAATAAATGGTTCCATTCATATGCACAGCAGGCTTTATATTTTATTCACCACATTTTTCTGTTTTAATCAAGTTATCTTACTTTGGTTTGCAGACTTCTTTCCTAATGTGCTGCCTGCCTGCTATTCCCAAACAAGAGACCAAGAGAGTTTGTAACGCTCACCAGGATATACAGAGTCTGTAACGCTCACCTGGATATACAGAGTCTGTAACGCTCACCTGGATATACAGAGTCTGTAACGCTCACCTGGATATACAGAGTCTGTAACGTTCATCTGGATATACAGAGAGTCTGTAACACTCACCTGGATATTTGAGCAATCACTGGAAAATATTCTCAATAATTTCATATATTGAGTCTTCTTGCCTTAAGAATATTCCAGACTAAATGAAACTTTACACTACTCTATCCCAGCATTCTACTCACTATTGAGGGAGGTCAAATTTAATCATCCATAGCCAGTCCTGGTAAGTTTTGTTTTTTTGTTTTTTTATATTTGACCCCTTTGACCTTGGAAGTAGGTCAAGGTAATTTATTTGGGGAAACTTGATAGCAATCAATGCCAACTGTAATTGCCCTGGGCCTCCTGGTTTATCAGATTTTTTTTTGTATTTGATGCATGTGACCTTTTAAGTAGGTCAAGGTCATTTATTTTGGGACTGTTTATAGCATTAAATTCCAGATACCTATTGGCCAAGTTTCATCACCTTATGTGTCTTAATTGTTAAGACGAAGTCACTCTAAAGTTTGAACATATTTGACTCGTATGACTTTGAAAGGGTCAAAGTAATTTACAGTGTATTTGAGGAAACGTTATAGCAATCCATCTCAGATACCTACTGGCCCGAGGATCTCAAAGATTCTTAATTTGGGGCCTGAATAGACCTACTAACTTTAAATAACCTGTGTGTTATTGACTTTGTCATTACTGTGTATATATCTATAAAATGAATCATCAACTAATTAACTAAGCCCAGACTACCATTTACATAAACATTTTAATGTTTCTTTCTTCATATTGAGGAACTTTTTTCAAAACATATTTATAAAACACATGATGAAATACATATAAATTCAGTATAAATTTCATAAATCCACCTATCTAACAAATATGACAAGGCATCCTTGATTTAATGTTGATCTAAATAGGTCATACGGCATTGGGTAAGTTAAAATAAATTAAATATACATTGAAAATCAACATTAAAGTATCACAAGTACTTTATACACAACAAAATACCTAGTATGTGTATACAATATTGATCTGTACCAGGGGCGCTTCTAGGATATTTGAAAGAGGGGGCGTAGAATTAAATTTTTCTTTATGTTTTTTTGCAACCTTTTTTTTGCTAAAAAACATAAAATAATTGTGAAATGCGCTAATGTAACGGTTCCTGACTTGGAGCGAGTGCCCCCCTTTTTTTGAAAAAGGTGGGGGGGCGTACGCCCATTACGCCCTCACCTGGACCCGCCCCTGTGTACAGAACAACTTATGTCTGTAGTGAACATATTAAAAAAGTTCAAAATACAATGTTCAATTTTTGTCTGTTTCCAAAAGTTAGAATTCTATCTACAGGGAAAATAAGTCAACACCACTCAAACTGAAAGAAGATCTAGAGGCACCTTCATTTGTTCACCACTGATCATATTCCATGACCTGTGAGTACACTTCACCATTATGCTGGTCTCATACACAGTCATTTCCCTCTGTTTCTGTCAGCACATTCTAACTCCATGCCACTTTGGCCGCGACAGCAGATGTGCATGTCTACCACCATTTAAAGACTATGGCATGTTGGATCAGTTGATCGAAGTTCTGATTTTAATGTCTTGCCATTCTACTATGGAGAGATGCCTCCCTCAGCTGTGGTAGAGCTGTACTATACAGGATGTAAGAGTGTTCATGTATCTGTCCCACACAACCTTGTGTCTTGACAGGTTCCTGGAACATAAATCACATATACTTTCAACCTACATGACTCGAGCAGCAGCATCGTTACAATACAGCTATACACCACATCAGGTATGGATATTACAAAACTTTACCCATGGTTTTGAAATTAGGTCAGGACATTTCTATCTGTCTGGGCTATTTCAGATAAGATCATGGCAGATAAAACACTTAAAACAGATACAATTTGGGTGGTAGGTTAATTTTTAGAATTAGTACGGTCATAGTGAGCCCTAGGGGGAAAATGTGAGTGGTAGGGTTCACAAAAAGGTGCTTTCCAACACCCAACTTCTATATTTATTTCAAAGATATATAAATCATGTAATATCATTGCATATAGTATCAACAGAAAATTACTGGTAATATGTAAATTTACTGATGATTATTTGATTATGTCATGTTTGGTATTAAGGCCACCACCTTGTTGAACAAATTTTAAATAATCATTATAAGAATCCCAATCTTGGATGTCCTTTGATACTGCAAACAGGATCAAATTCAATTTCAAATTCATTTTACCCTCTTTCTGAAATTATCAAAGGCAAATATGGTTCACTCATTATAAATGAAAACAAGAATTGAATTGAAATTTTATAAGAGTTATCTTTCCATTATACAACAATGGTTGAACTTCCTTGACAAGAATTCCAATATCATTGTGTATATTATTACTTGGATAAGGCATTCCAAGACATCTTTTGTAATACTTCACAAAGCAGACAACAACCACAGAAATATGTACCTGTGTCTGAAAGCCTCGAGTTGAGGATAGACATCTCTATAGGCTAATAAAACAGTATTCAGCTCATCCTTCAGCCAACGCCCCTGCATACAAGGCTCAATGATCTGTAAAATTTACATACACATTAAAACAGGTGTATGTAAAAAAAATGAATCTTATAAAAATACAAAACTGCTGATGTAATGCCCATTTTTTTTAAATTCTATAAAAATTCTACATTTGATTTGCAAGTTAAACAAACCCTCTATATTAGTCATTACTTAAAGTGAAAGAACCAGGCTATTCCATGTATTTTTTTAAACTTATTAAATACTATATAATGTTGTTCTTAGACCATATAGCAGTAGACTATTAGAGGAACTTCAAGTGCCCTGAATTAATCAAGGGACATAAACAGTCATACATAATATGTGCTTTATGTTAAACGGTTACTTCTGTATTGAAAAACTTGAACTAATACCTTTATTCTATTTTTCACATTGCTGATTTTTATGCATCATGATTATTATAAAAAGGGATATTTTGATATATGATACAGAATTTATGTTTAATTGAAAGGCCACCACTTTCACTTCAGTGATGATAGTGTTTCCCTTGGCTGTTATAGAAATATGGGTTCTCAATATAAGCTCAAGGAATTAAGAAACCACAATATATATTTTACTACTTTTCATACTTGGAAATCTACTTCATCTGTGGTACAAGTATCTTATCTTTTCTTACCACGGTGCAATTTTCTCCTTTATATGCAGAGTAAAGTTGAATCACCAATGCTGCTTCAAGTTTATCTTACTAAGTATATATGCTATAAATAAAGCACATTGCTATGCTTCTTTTAAAATATTTTACAGATAACTCCCATATTTACATGTACAAATAACATAATTAGCCACTTTACCTTTTCTACTAAGTCTATGAAGATGTCTCTAGCTTCTTTGCTGTGATTTAGTCCATAGGCAATATTCACTATTGCTTTTGACATGTTCTGTAAAGAAATAAAATTCTCATACAGCTGACAGTAAATGACTGTTTGATAAATTGTTTCTGTTTCTTCAAACCAACTGATCAGTGGTAGGATCCTGGCCAAGTATGACTACAGATACATGTATATCCAAAACAAAATTACGGGGAGGTTAGCGTTCGTAGGAAAAACTACAGTGGAGTTCTCCTAATACGAGTGCTTATATTTGTATAGTTGTGTTGTCTTGAAGTGAAAATACCAAAATACTTTCTATGGTTGAAGGCATAACAAACTTTCCTGATAACTGTTTTAGAATGTATCTGCAAAATATAAAACAAATACTGTTACTATTATTCTCACTATGTTTAATATTTCAATAACTATCTTCAATTCAATTCTAAAGGATTGCTCACATGAGAAAGTCTATAGTCTCTCTTGGCATGGTTGCTTGTTTTAAAATAGAATGACATCACTTCTAGGCACAATAAATCAGCTGACCGTACTACTATGCCAAAGGCTGTAAACTCTACTAAAGTCTGTACGAAAATAGCTGAAAAATTAGTATCAATGAAAACATGCAAAGAAAGAATTAAAACTTGTTAAAGCCCGATAATTTTTATCATTAAGCCCTGGATCTACTACAAACAACAGGTAGTAATGGGCTTACCACTTCTATTGCACACAGACTTATTCCCAGGGAATTAAATTCACGAGCGAAACAATATGTCTTGTTTAAATGTGTCACTTGACATTTGAATTTTTAATCAGCTATGTCTCTTATGTAATAAAACAAACTTACCTTAAAATTATCATCTAAATCCTGATGTATTCTCTTAGGAAGTGCTGTTTTTGTTGCATTTAAAACCAAACTGAAAATACAAATCAACAAATGAAATATATTTTAAAACTCTTTTTTTCTCTATGATTAAAAACTGTAGCATGAACTAAATTAAATAACAAGAAACAGAACATAAATATACCATTTATGGGTCTCACCCCTGAAGTAGCTTTCATCTTTGAGATTAGATACTCTTTGATTACTAAACCTCAAAATAAATACTACCTAATTAATACCTTTTTGTACTGTGTTATTGATATACATACAAAATGTATCATTATATGGCAGATTATGTGTAGATCTCTCAGATGTGTCAACACTACAACCTTCCACAAAGACAGCAGGGTTTCAGTCCCCAAAATTATTGAAGCATTGATTTTCAGACAGTTTTTTCTCTCGCCTGCTCACTAAAGTCTAACACCCCAGGACTTACATAAAATTGTCTTAGGTTGGTGCTACAATGTCTGTGTGTTATAATATTCAAATGAGTTGGTACTATGAAAAATGATGCCATTGAAAGCACGGTCCCAGCACAAAACAACCCAAATATGTCTCCAGCACACACATAGGCATGTACAAATGTGGAGGTATTTAGCTAGGTGGCATATGACCAGTAGCTAAAGCCTGACGAGGCAGTTCCTAAATATCCTCTGATCTGTATCAATTGCATTAATTATAGATTTTATGCATCTTGAAGTGGTTAATTTTAGTTAGATACACGCTATACCAAATGTCTACAATAAAAATTATAAACAAAAATATCACCTTTTGTGTTCATCTAAGTTTTCTTTATCCAGTAGAATCTTAAACTCCCGGAGATCCTGTAGGAATCTGCGGTCAAGGTCAACATCCATGTCCTCACGTCCTTTAGAATCTGTACAGGAATATAACAATTGATAAAATTGAATATAAGAAATAACTGAATGAACAGTGTACACTATCTCAACTAAGCTGTGTATAGTCATTAATCTAAACATTCCAGAAGATCACTTTACACATTCACTCGTAAATAAAACCTGTGTAAACCAAAGACCGGTCTATTTCAGAATAGCAACAATAATTCTGTTTTGTCAATTACCTGTAAATACAATCTATATTCTTACATGTATGTTGAAAAGTGATACATGTGTTATGGTTATAGGAATGTGACAAGAATTAAGGTAGAGAGTACCAGAGATCTGTGTTGTACCTCCAATGAAGTAGAGAGTACCAGAGATCTGTGTTGTACCTCCTATGAAGTAGAGAGTACCAGAGATCTGTGTTGTACCTCCAATAAAGTAGAGAGTACCAAAGATCTGTGTTGTACCTCCAATGAAGTAGAGAGTACCAGAGATCTGTGTTGTACCTCAAATGAAGAAGAAAGTACCAGAGATCTGTTCTGTACCTCCAATGAAGTAGAGAGTACCAGAGATCTGTGTTGTAGCTCCAATGAAGTAGAGAGTACCAGAGATCTGTGTTGTACCTCCAATGAAGATAAGATCTGCAGCTTCTTTTGACTTGGATTTGCTTGCAAATATGCTATAGCATAGAGTTTAATATGACTAAATATGTTTTATTATAATTTCCTTTTTCACTAAAACATCTCCTCCACAAGGATTTGATCCCCAGACCTCTTTATCATAAAGCAGAGAGTATATCCACTACACTGCAAATTATAAATCACAAAATGACCAGACTCCCTAAAATTGCCCACAATCTATTTTACATTGTACGACTAGTTGCAATTGCTATTAGCACTGGTCATACTCGCCTCTCTAGTGTTACGGCCAGATGCAACTGGCTGTCAATGCTTCAGAAAAGTCCAAACTCACCTTTAGCAGTGTACGACCAATTAGCTATCAAAGAGGTGGCACAGTGGACAAAGTCATAGAATGTCAGGTGACTGAGCTTCTTCTTTCCTGTCTCAAATCGATTGTTGGCAATGAACACAATGGCAGCATATTCCCTGTAGCATAGTCAATATCAGAAAGTCACTTTTATATCTAAAGTTTACATTCAACACTTTCCCTCATCATCTTCCAATATGTAATTTTAACTACAGTCAGACTATTTAGACCAAAATAGGCAGGATTGTGGAACAAGTTCAATTATCAAGTTACCTCTATAGACAAGTTTTCATTAACGGCATATGACCCTGAGTATATAAATTTCTAGATGATTTATTCTCAGCTCTATCTTTTATGTACACAAGTAGTGATCTTTTGTATAGCATCAAGTATTCTTTATTCCCAGGTATTTTTTCCATTAACAACAACCACTTTAAAAGAAAATATAATAACATGTACTCTGTCCACAAATCCCTCACATGTTCCCCTGTTGGTACATGTATAATCCTTTCTTTGGGTGCATGTGAAATGGTTTTGAATTAGGTCAAGTATAAATTATAAAATAGTCTAATAGTTGATATATTGAAAGCTCCTTCAATTACAACTATACTGTAGGTCTAGCTACCCTTAACGTACTCCTAGCTCCTCCTGTATGTCGTAATGGAGCAGCACTCCATACTTACTTGGCAAGTACCTCGGACACTAGATAGTGTGCCTGTATGTTTTCTACCAATGTTCCTGTCAGGTCCTCTACAGTCTTAAATACTCTCTTCAGGTTGTCAAACTGTAATGTGAAAACATAATTGAGTTAAATAGCTTAATATCACATTAAAATTCTACAGGTTGTCATTTTACAATTGATTTATGACCCGTACACATAAAGTAATTTGTTTGGTGGTGGTGAAAGGAGGGAGGCAAAGAAAACAGATGTAGAAACAATTCAGCAAAATTGTGAAATAAATTGTCATTTTCCAGAACAACTGAATTTATAAGGAATTATGTTTGTGTCCATCTATTTTTAGAAAGTGCATGCATATAACAATATGTATGTGACATCATCATGCATAAAAGTTTATACAGTGAATTCAACCCTGTCATTGGTCATCTTAACACATTCACTTTTAACGACAGTCTAAAAGCTGTTAAGGTAATAGGATTGTGTCACCATTTCTCAGTAGGATTTCTTCTAATTTTGTAGTTATATTGCTTTGAAGTAAATTTTCTGCCACAAAAAAATATAGGTTGTCAGAATTTAAGGATTTTAAATGGAAATTTATGTAAAAGGGAGTGAATTTTGAAAAATAAAATGAAACACAATTTTTTGCAATATAATGTCAATAAAAATGATACTGACATAGATTAGTATTGCATTAATATATATCAATTTCATAAATGCTGAAATTGTGTAAAATGAATTATCTATAAACGATTAAAAATTGACATTTTATAATAAAACCATATACACATAGTAATTGCATGAAAGAGTTATCGTTATTGAAAAACTTCACAGTAGTGAAATAGGTAGCCGGTTTCCTGAAGTACAGAAAAATGGACACATGTGACTCATTGATTAAACAAGAGGCCCAAGGGCCTTAGCGGTCACCTGAGTTATATCATAGGTACTGGTAGCTTTATTTTATTGTTTAGATGTGATGTGGAAATCAGCATGTAAACTAAGTGAAATACAATACTTGTCATGTCATCAAAGGATAAGAATTTGAAAATATTGGTAAATGTTCCCTTTGGGGCCCCGCCCTAGCCCCTGGGGATGGGGCAGGAATCCCAATTTTACAAAGTAATACTCTCATTTACCCAAGATGATTCTGACTAAGTTTGAGCAATTTTCTGCTGAAAATGGATAAAATATATACCGAAAAGTGTTATTTCCCTATATAAACTATATTAAACGTTAACCCCTCCCCAAGGGAGAACGGATAGCTCGGGGTCCTGATATTTTCAATTTAAATAAAGCCCCTGATGATCTTTCTTTCCACGTAAAGAAAATCACTGTAGTACCTCTGAGTCTGGAGAAGAAGATTTTTGAAATATTGATTAATTTTCCCTTTGGGGCCCCGCCCTGGCCCCAGGGGTCGGGGTAGGAATCTCAATTTTACAATTTGAAACCATCTACCTCCAAGGATAATTCTCACCAAGTAAAAATAATTTCCTACAGAAAGTTGTCAAAATATACCCAAAAGTGTTATTTCCCTATATAAACTATAGTAAACTTTACCCCCTCCCCAAGGGAGAACGGATAGCTCGGGGGTCCTGAAATTTACAATTTACAATTTACAACCATAAGGTTATGGTTCCAGGGTTTATTAAACTTATAATTTTATTATCTAACATCAATCACAGACCAAAATTTCAACTAACATGTGAAATTCTGTTTTGTAATTCAAAAACAAGTCCATCATATCAGTTGAATTCATCCTATACAACAGCGATCAGGCTGTTTCTAGAACTGTTTAAATTTGTTCTGTAGTACAACCAGTCATGACCTACCTGACGCCTACATGATCTGAGGGGCACTCTTGTTTTCTCACACACATCATCAAGATCCTTTCTGTTCCTCGATGACAGCTTCTTACCAAGAACTTCCCTTACCACTACAGCATCAAACTGGTAATATCTGAAAAAAATGTTCTTCACATTACTAGGTTTGTTTAAAATAATTAAATCAGCTACATGTATTTCAAGTATTGTTTTACATCACAATAATTTAATCAAACATAATGTATGATTTATGAATTAGAGAACTTCTTAGTAATATTGCAGTTATGTTTTCGAGTGTATCACCAACTCATGATAATCTGAACCAGAATATTGATATTAAAACTATGGATATTTACATGGGAATTTTCAATTCACAAATTCAACTAATTTAGTATCAGAAACACAAAAGTATTGATGAATTATAAAGTGTCAGATCATACCCTATACCTTTTTTAATTTATTAAGACCAAATACTCTTGCCTGAAGTATTCATTAGCGCAAACCTTTCTATGAGAAGTTTCTGTGTCTGTGGATCTAGCTGGTATAGATGCTGCTCCCCTAGTTTTGCTGGGTCCTTTAGCAGTTTTTCTAGGTTGATGAAGAGACGGTAGTTATCCTGTGTATCAGATACCAGATCCTGGAAACCGACTCCCATGTTGTGTAGCACACCTCGCTTCTGCAACACTGCAGATGCATCATGTGCTAGGAAACAAAAAGTTGGGTTCTCTTTATTAGCATAATCCAGAAAATTTGAAAGGGTATAGGCTAGCAGAGAAAGGCATAACATTCAGGTATTGTTTTCTTGTCATATCTGACATTCATAACAACATATTTTCATAAGGAAATAAATTGCTAGTTTTCTAATTAATAAAATCACGGAATTAGATTAATTGCTATCAAAGTCCGTGATAAAATCAAAATTAAATTATTTTACTTTCAAACAGCTTATTTAAACTGCATTAAAATTAAAGCATCTTTCAATTTAAAGCTTCTAATACCAAAAATCTATAAAATTCTGAAGTAACTTTTTTAAAGCATAGAAACGTCTTAAACAAGTAAAGAAACATCACAGTATTGAAATGATCACGCATCAAAACATCTGTATCCAGCTGAAACTACCCAAGGCATGAACTTTTAGAATTTTCAGTTGCTGCAGTTTTATATTTTTGTGACCTACAAACATGAGAAGTTGCTTTAATATAAATATGGACATTTACCTGAATAACCACTCAGCCAAAGCTCATATAAGTCTGTGTCAATCACAGTGAAGTTACCAACGAAAACATCAACCATAGCCATATGTCCTCACTTGGAATACAGTGTTGAAGTTGTACAGAAGTCGGAAATTCTGGTCATGCTTCCATAATTGAATTCAATGCATTTTGATCATGCTTATTCAAAACATTAGTGCATAGAACAAGGAAGATTTATCCTGTCAGTCTGAAATAAAGAGAAACCTGTTAATAATAAAGTTTGAAATTACCAGGTTTGGCACAACAGCGCATAATCCACATATGGGTAATAATCCTGCATTTGGGTAACAATTACCCATTTGCAGTTACAATTTTATTACTCAGATGGGGACTAAAGTGAAATAAAAACACATAAAGTTCTTTTAAACACTTGGAGTAAAAAAGGGCATTATTTTTTCTACTAAATCCAATATATAACACAATGAAGTACAGCTGTTCACAAAAAGTTATCAATTCTAATGTCTAGTTCACAAAAAGTTATCAATTCTAAATGTCTAACATTTTGTTAAAAGGACAAACCATATCACTGACTTTGCTCTCCCTTGACCTCAGTGTGTAGTCAATGGGATCATCCAGTGCAAATGTGACAGGTGAGCATGATTTTTTTCTGTGTGCTATTTATAGCTGCTCTACAGAACACTATAAGCAATGGAGGTGATACAATTTGTCATTTTCACAAACATTAAGACAACTGAATTAACATATCATTGTATTTTTTATTGGATTATGTTGAAAGAATGACGCTCCATGTGTTTAAAAGAACTTTATGTGTTTTTATTTCACTTTAATCCTCATCTGAGTAATACAATTGTTACTGCAAATGAGTAACTGTTACCCAAATGCAGGATTACTACCCATATGCGCCGTTGTGCCCAACCTGAATAATCCTGCATTTAGCACTTACCGGCCGTTTACAGTAACAATTTTCTACTGGCACATTTACTGGAATGACACAAGCGTTCGACACCAAGATTTGACAGGACAAATCAAATCCGTATCGATAATGAACCGGGTAAACGACTGCAGTACAATATTACCTGTATCATGTATATTGTTTGATAAAAATGAGCTAAAAATGCCCATCCCGAACATCTGAGAATCGGGGATGTCAACAGAAGCAACACTTCGCTTGATATCTGTCTTTGTATGGATGGAAACCAATTATTGTTACCTAAAAATCCCTTTTTTTACCTATAAACTTTTATCTTACAGATCCTTACTGAATAAATATATGTCCCGGGGTGATGAAGCCCATCAAAGATCCCAGTAATTTTACCGGAAATGTATCGAATATACATACTACACGAACCAAACAACGGAATATGGAGTAATCCGGAACGTATTCAGTTACGATGGATGTAGAATAATTTGTCGTGTTATCCCTCACCAGGCACCAGCTTTTCCAATTTCGTCTTTTCTGTTCTCAAACTATTAAAAAATATTGCATGCACAATAAAATATTTTTGGGAATGTATTTTTTATATGTAAAATAAAATTGTACATATCTAAAATTGGTTATGCAAAACATGTTTTGGGTATGTAGAAATCGATTTTTTTTGCAAAGTCACTTTAACGAATTGCTAGACGCACGAAAACCCCGCCGGTCACTCGCTGGTCACTCATTCAGCCACTGATACACACAGGCGTAATTAAATCGTTAAAGAATACTATATTCCGCTAGTGCGATCGAAGTGAACTTTTGTACATAGTTAGCCGATGGCATTTACTGTACAAATCATATAAAAAAATATATACAAAAAGTCACTTAACGAATTGCTGGGCGCGCGAAAACCTCACTGGGCACTCAATCCTCCGCCGGGTACTCATTAGAGTGACCGGTTCCCGATCGCGACTACGCGACAGTGTCGACTTAGCACAAACTGGCATCCACAGTACATGTACCATCTTGCTGACCAGTGAACAGTGAAGCTCATTCTTTTGAAATAAAAACAACACAACTCATATCAAATTTTTCTGCTGATTGGTATATATATATGACTTTTGGTTTCTTGAAGTTGACATTCCGCTCAATACTGGATTCAATTTCTTCGAATTTGTTTGATGTTGATGTGTTGAAGACGATGATAGAGCCATCGACAAAGTCCGGATTTGTTTAGTTTGCATCTGAACTTGGATATGAACAGCGTTTTCCTTTGTTCTCATCTATACAAGAATCGATCATGTCGTTTATCAATGGACACAGTTCTGCAGATGGTATATGGTTATGGCTGGGACAAATTTGTTGAATATTTCCCCAGAGCGTTCTTTTATCTGCTCCCCTTTTCCTTTTCCATTGTCAGTAGTATGGCGTCTTTGCCCTTCACAGCGTTCACTGGCTTCCGTCTGTCATGACTTTTGTTACATACACCTGTCTGCATTCTACCAAAATGGCATGCATTCTCATCTAAGTTATCAACTCCTCTGTCCAATTTCTTCTGTCTATCCTCGTGGCAATTTCACTTCTTTATCTTTTCAGAGAAATCAGGTCTAAGTTGGCCTTTATTTTTGTTTTAATTTGTCCAACCATCTAGTCGTGTTTTCAACCATTATGAAATCTATTGTATCTCTTGGCTTCCTTTTTTGTGACTGTTTTCTTAGCAAATTCTGCTGATTTAATTTGATTCGTTCAATTAATTTAGAAGGATTTCGAATCTGGTCTCCGTGATAATGAAAATCCTATGTTCAGGTATCGAATCTTGTTGTGACAAATTTCATTCTCTGTTTCCATATCGTCTCTCAATGTTTCCTCAACTTTTCCCTTACTTCAAATTTTACAAGCTCTCTACAGTATCGTTTGTCCGTTGCTGGAGCAGTATGCGTATTACAAACATGTTTTTACAGCACAGACATTAGTTGTGCCTGTACGATCTCTCCCCATTACATCATCCTAATCTCTGTTGTCGTTTCCAACCATTAAATTCCAACCTCCTGTTACAAAAAGCATGCCAATGTTTTTGAATTGATTCTAGATGTGTCTGCAACTGTTCTACAAAGGCTCTCTCAACGCTGACGCATTGTTTGTTGGTGAATACCTTAGACCTACTGTCAGTTTGATGATCTTGAAGTGGAATCTAGCGTTTCTGACCCTTTTTTTTGTCCTTCACTCAGTCCTAAAATACCGATGCTATGCTTTTCCATTTGCCCTGTTGTTTTCAATGTTTTTCAAATCGTGTAACTCAAAAAATGCCCTAATCACTTGTGTTGTTTATGCGTATTACCGGCTTTCTCCCACAGAACTCTTTGCACGCTTTGGCGTCATTCTTTCCAAAACGATTTCATCATCATTGGGCAGAGACACTTTTATGTCCTCGAAGCATCCATGGTTTCTGAACCTTTCGATTGATTTGATCAGGTTTAACAACCCCTTAACACAAAGAAGGTCATGTTGGGTCTGTCGTATTTACCATTTGATTCTTGCAGTGTTCGGTGATTATCTAAACTCTAACAAACAGATGTTTGTCCAGGGATTTTATATAGGGATGTTCAACAATCTTTTTTTCAGTTATGTAATGTGCTGAAATATGTACGTATCCGTTGTTACTCAGCTATAGAGTATTGACGTAAGGCACTACCAGGTCCACCAACCTGGAGATGTGACTTGTTGGTAGAAGTCATTATGTGCGGAGATTCTGAACTCACCACTGGTTTTAGAGAAATTTTATGAAGTGGCTAAAGTGAGAGGCCAAAAATCTACATTTACAGCGAACGTATCCCAGGTTCTATCTAGGTATAACAAATACTAGCTCTGCCCTTTTTTAACAACTCACTGGCACCGAAAACGATGCTAAACACATTGTACCAACATTTCCGCTTCTGCATTTGATAATCATTGATCTTTGATTACAGTTTGCTCTCATTAATGTTACGTTTTCGCATTGAGACTATACACATTTTAACATATATGTGGGTCATTTGAGCCTCTAAAATTACAGGCCGTTGACATTTTGCTGCGTTTAAATAGCATTGCCCCATCAGCTGTTCTGTATTCCTTTTCCTGTACGTACCTGAACATTTCACTGTCTTATTTTGCATTTACTGTTTGAATGAGTTATTTATACCTAATGTTTTTACAATTTCTTGCAGATTTCTGCCGTCTCAGAGTCTGTATGTGTTGTATATACATCTACTTGATGTTTTTAGTGTGTCATTGATCTCCCAGTATGTACAATGTATGTTATGGCAGTGTTTTGAAAAAAGTAACAGGTCGCTCTGAAAAGTAAATAAGTAATAGTATCTGCAATGTTAAATATCACTGTAATACCATAGTACTCTAGTGCTGCATTTGACAATATTACGGTTCTGACGAAAAAATAATCCATCAGATTTATCTCTGATGGAGAGGTACATGTATATCACGCAGTCATGCAGGTCTACTTTCACATTCCCTTTAGACACATGTTGTTATCCTGTATGACAACGCATCCATACTAGAGACACCAATTACTGCCTATGTAGGCAGAGGGTCGCTGGTGTCTGTGGGTAACGGGAGGATATACAGCTATTAAAACCACGACGCCTGTTCTAGCTGTTATATAATTACCCAATAGCTTGAACATTGCTTGATACACTCCTGAATATAAATGCCCAATTTATAAAAGGTCGTTTATATGCAATCTGTGCCTGATCACGAACGGGCACTTGTATACTTGGTCAAGTGTTAACGTGCAGCTGAACGTTATTGTACATAGAGGTTTCATGTACAAGAACATATACTGTACACTCAATCTAGGTTATAATTACGTGATAGAATGCAGAGGGTTGGCTGAGGCCTGTATATCGATTAGATTTATAGTGTTCTTTCATACATCACTTCATTCCGAAGTCCGAACTATTCAATTCTCGCTGTGTGAAAGTGATTTTCCTTTATACCTCTGTATACAAATATCTCAGATCCAGTAATGTTGTATATTGTGAATTCCTAAGAATTGTGTACCCCCCCCCCCCCCC